TGTTTTAATTTTGTTTATAAAAATATGAGTAGATGAACTTAAATCTATAAAATGTTCAGAATCTTTTTTAATTCAAAATATCTTTTGTATATTTAAATATATATTATGAAGTTTATTGGATATGTATACGCAAATGTACGGATTTGTAAATTATTTTTTCAAAATTTTTTCTTTTTTATTATTTTCAAACTTTATTATTTATTAAACTTTATTAAACCATATTAATCTCTATAATGAATAGCCGAACGAATATTATTACTATTATTATTAATAGTGCGCATAGTTACGCGTATTGTTTTATAGTTACGGTATCTGTAAAATACACTTTTTGAGTTGTTTCTAGACTTTTCTTTACCGCGTGCTTTCTTAAAGATTTCCTTTCAACCTTTCATGATACGAGTTCAAAATGTCCAAGTTGATATTAAGTAGATAATGTTTAGTAGCTTAAAATTATAGGTAATCTAAAAAATTTTTTTTAATTTAAAAGTAATTAATTTATTGTAATCTTTTTTAAATTGTAATTTTAAATTTAAAGCTTCGTGTTTGTCTATCTGTAATTTATTTAGGTTATTAGAAAATTCATGTTTACAGAGTTGTTATTAATCATAATCGAGTTGTTAAACCAAGGAAATTGTGGAGGTTTATTTATCATATATACTATATATATTATATAATTATATTGGAGGGAGTAAGTTTAAAAGCATTTTTAAATTTTTAAAAAGAAATAAAAAAACTTTTCAATATAGTTTTAGTTTTTTTAAATTTAAATTTAAAGTTTCAAGTTTTCAAAATCGTAATCTTTTCAAAATGTCTAAGTAGACATTGAGTATTTATAAAATCTTTTTGAAATTTTATAAGTAATTAGTTTATTGTAATCTTAAATTGTACTTTTAAATATAAAGCTTCGTGTTATACATGTGAGTTTTGAAAATATAGATTACTATAATTCTTAGATGGTGTCTACCATTAAAAGATATTTATGGATAGTTTCATGCTTTCAAACGCTTTTAATAATTGAGATAAAAGCCATGATAACATTTTGTTATAAATAAAATTTATTTAAAGTATTGTTAATACTTTGGCTCTTTGAAACAAAAATATATATTTTTTCTTTTCGAAAAGTTTAATAATTTGCCTTGCATGATTGAATTTTGGTTTAGGGTATAATTGTGTTATTATATGTTTGTTTTTCTATTTATATCTAATTTATAAAGATTTTATATAGTTAAGATGTATATAATTTATTTAATTTAAAATTAAGATGTAAAATAAAATATCTAATTTATAAAGATTTAGATCATTAGAAAATTTATATTTGCAGAGTTGTTATTAATCATAATCAAGTTGTTGAACCAAAAAAATTGTAGAGGTTTATTTATCAAATATACTATATATGTTATATAAAAAATTTTGGTTTTCATATGTTTTCGCTAATAAATAGTTCTATATATATATAAATATATATATGTTCTATATATATATATATATATATATATATATATATGTTTTCGCTAATAAATAGTTCTATATATATATATAAATATATATATGTTCTATATATATATATATATATATATATATATATATATATATATATATATATATACATTTATATATATATATATATATATATATATATATATATATATATATATATATATATATATATATATATATATATATATATATATGTTCTATATATATATATATATATATGTTCTATATATATATATATATATATATATATATATATATATATATATATATATATATATATATATATATATATATATATATATATATATATATATATATATATATATATATATATTGTACATAACGCGTTAATAACTTTTATTACACGTTTTGTTCAATGTTTTCTCCCAACGCATACCTTATGACGCTCTCTGCGATGATATGTTGTTTGTTTCTAAGTTTTTTTTTCTTTATTAGAATTAGAATAAATTTTACTTTTTGTATTAAGTTTTTGGTAATATGGTTGCAGTTTTTTCTTAACTTTTATCAAATAAACTTAATTAACCTGTATTACTTTTGATGATGGCAAATTAATTTTGTTTTGCATTAGTTAGGATTCTTTATATATTTTTTTTGAGAATTTTTTTTTTAATTATTTTGAGTAAGATTTTTTTAGTTATTTTTTAAGCTTTTTATTTTATTGCTAACTTTAGAGTAGTAAAAAAAAGAAATAATTTGTGTTGCTTTGATAAGTATGTTTAATTAAAATGATGACATTGAAATGAATGATAGGCTAGATGAAGTTATGTATTTACGAAATGATGTAAGTGCTGTAAGGCGTGTTGAAAATAGTCGTAGACAAAATGAAAGAAATAGACTTCGGCGAGATGAAATTATTCATTTACGAAATGAAAGAAATAGGCTTAATCGAGAAAACGTTAATCGTCGCCAAAACGAAAGAAATAGGTTCGATCGAGATAATGTTAACCGTCGCCAAAATGAAAGATATAGGCTCAATCGAGATAGTGTTATTCGTCACCAAAATGAAAGAAATAGACTCGATCGAGATAATGTTAATCGTAGCCAAAATGAAAGAAATAGGCTTGATCGAGATAATGTTAATCGTCGCCAAAATGAAAGAAATAGGCTCGATCGAGATAGTGTTAATCGTCGCCAAAATGAAAGAAGAGCTGTTGGACAAGGACGAATGTATTCTATAGCGAGAAGTAATGCTATTCCAGATTATAATTATTTAGGAGAAATGAATCAAATTTGTCAGCACTGTGGTGCTAAGAAATTTCCAGATGAAACACATTTTCTATGTCGCCATAATGGTAAGGTAGCTTTGCCTCCACTTTCACCAATTACACAAGCTTTACAGGATTTGTTTACAGGGAGTTATGTAGATTGTAACGCTAATGCTCATTTTTTAAAACATATTTGAAATTATAATGCCTGCTTTTCTTTTGCTTTTTTTACAGCAAATGTAGTTCAACCAATGAATCATGGGCTTCCATGTTTTAAAACATGTCGCCAGATTTTTCATCGTGTAGGAAATCTTAGGCCAGCTCAAGAAATTCCATCAATATATTCTCAACTATATATTTATGATCCACTTGCTGCACTAAATTTTAGAATGCAACACTGTGGTAATGATCTTTGTTAATGTGATTTAATTTTTCAATTGCAAACTATAATTATGGAATTAAGTCCTTTTGTTATAGTCTATATTATAGTTACACTGAGTCGTAGAAAAAAAATTAAAGTTTATTAATAAGGTAGTAGATTATTAGAGTAGATTAAATTGTTTGATCTATTAATCAACTTAAAAACGTACTATTAAAGTGAAGATTTATTTCGGTTGTTTGTTTGTTAAAATTTAGTTAGAGTTTAAAATTTAAATTCTTTAGTTAATAAGAGAGATCTAAAAAATGTATTAATTACATTAGTTGAATGTAGCATTTAATATGTATTTTATCGATATTTTAACGTCTAAACATTAAAGTGCTTTTATTGTTTAGATACAGAAGTGAAGAAGGAATTAAGTCAGTGTTTTTGCTATTAGATATTTGTTAATAGGAATTTGTTTATTTGTACTGCCACTGGGATTTTAAAAAATCAAGTTCTTTAGCTTTATTTTATACTTTCTTTTAGGGGAGTTGGAACAAAAACTAAGTATAAATTGTGATTAGTTTAGTTTAATAAATAAAGCATTATTATTTAGAAGATTTAAAGTTTATTTTAGTTTATAGTTTTGGTTTAGTTTATAGTTTTGGTTTAGTTTTGTTTTTAGCATTAGTTATTTTTTTCTTACTTTAGACAACTTTATGGATGAAATGAGGGGGATGGGTAAAACAATTATTTAGATATGTATATATTTATATGTTAACATTATTTTATCGATTATTATATAATTATTTAAGTATATATTTGTTTTTTAGTGTCTGGTGGAAGTATAGCTGGTAGGGCTGTGTTTTATATTTTATATGTTTTGTATGGAGAAATATGTGCAATAGGTGGAAAAATTAATTAATAAATATGACACTTTTGAACTGGTTGCATTATTGCCCTATATATTTATTAAAATACAAAATGTTGCATGTTTAACCCTTATTAATTTGCTCTCTTTTTTTTTTTTTTTTAGCATCTTCTGTTTTGAATGAAAATGGTGAGGTTATGCTAATTTTTTTTTTTTAATAATTACAAATGTATAATTTTTGTTATATTCTTCTATTTGTAACTTTATATTCCTTATCATTCGAAGAATACAAAAATTACCGCTCCCAACACACGGGACCTCTCTCAGAGAGGTTTTTCAATAAATGGTAACATAATGGCGGAATGGATGAGCCCTTCTTTAAATGGAGGGCTCATCCATACCGGGGTGTTGGGAGACACCGAAGAAAAAACAGCAACCAAAAGGTTGTAATGTCTTCTATCAATAGAGATATATATGACTTTTTAGTTGCTGCTTTTTCTTCGGTTTTTTTTTTTTTTAATTTTGTATTTTTTTGTTTCGGCATTTTTTTTTTAATTTTGTAATTTTTTTAAATATATATTACGTTGTATATTTGATTTGTTTTGATCTTTTTTAATAAAAATTTCAATTGTTTTCTCACCGTTTAATCCTGACTTCAAATTTAAAGCCCTCTTAAATACCCCTCCCTAAAATCTAGTCGAAAGTTGAATTGATTCATTATCCAATTATCATAATATAATGATGCTGCATTCTTTTGTTAAAAACAGTTATTTAGTATGTCTCATTTATTCAACTCACTGCTTTATTTACCAAAATTTACCAAAATCCAAGGCAATATATTTAGCTATAAAAATACAATTTATTTATCTCGATTCCATTCTATATTTTTTATGTTTATAGTTTGGCTCTTTGAAGCATTTTTTGTTTTGCTTTTTTTATTATGAGTATTTTAATTCCGTTGTGATGTCTTTTAAATTAAACTAAAGTTTACTAAAAGCCAACATAAAAATTACGTTTTTGAACAACACCAAAAAGAACAGCTGCATCCCTACAGCAACTGCTGCAGTATCACAAAAGGTTACCAAAAGCAGGTATACTGTTTTCCAGTTGTTGTTTTTTTTCATATATATCTACTTATCTATATAATACTATAGTACGATTGTTTATATCTCCTTCATTTTTTTCTTCTTTATCTTTAAGTGTTAATAATTTTATTCTTTGAATGAGAATAGTTAAAGAAGTCGGTTTTCATTAAAGATATTGGTTTCAAAATTGAACGCCATTGGCAAAATGCTTACAAAATTAGGTAGTTTTTAAAAATATGTTTTCTATTTAATACACTTTTTTTTAAATATCCTTTTTTATATACTTTTCTATAACAACCCTACTAATATGGAATCACGTAGCTTTTTAAATATGTTTAATTGTCGTCCCTATCGGTAATAAATATTTTAAATTATTTGATATGGTTTTCTTTACAATAGGCTATGCTTGGCTCTTTGGTGCTGTAAATGGTAGCTTTAATTTTTTTTTTTTAAGAAAAATATGTTTTATATATGCTTCTGTTTTAAAATATTTTTGTTACTTATTTAAATATATATCATGTAAATAAATTTCTTTTAATGATATGTAAACTTGATACTTGCTTTTTTACGGATTTTCAAAAAGTGAACAAAGGTTTAAATATATTTTTTAACTGTCTTATATGATTTTACCTATTTTATAATAGCTGAAAAATTACTTCAAAAATATTGAGTAAAATGCAATTGCTTTTATTATTAACCTGATCTATACTAAAATTAATGAAATAAAACTAATAATTTAACCCCAAGTTAAGGCAAAATGTATTCCGGACATTTTATAAAATTAGTATATATATGGATTAGATGTATGCTGAAATATATATGTTGATACACGTTAGCTATTAAAGTAAATTCATTTATTCCTTTATTGTTTTTTTATAAACAAGTTTCTGCTGGATTACTAATTAAAAAAAAGGTTGGTTTAATAATAATCTTTATCATAATAATATAGGATCCGTATGCAGGGCTAAAAGGGCCTTTTTCGGAATTGCGATATAGTTTTCAACTTAGAGTTTTTTCGGATATCCAACTTCTATGCCTACAAGTTTGGGCGTAATTTTTTAGATGTTTTAAAAATATTTAAAAAGTATAATAATAACACTAAAAAGTTTAGGTGCGATAGTGACATATTTTTAAGCTCTTCACTCAGTAAAATAAAAAGTTTAAAAAAAAAAGAAATGACTCAGCTTAAAGAAAAATTAGGAGTAGATTATATTCTCAATATTTACCTAAACAATTTTACGGAATTTGAAAATTTGACATCGATATTCTGTGCATATAATTCAAGTCATTTTTAACTACTACGTGGTTGTGATTTGCGCATTCAATGTCTGAACATTGAAAAATCTCTAATGAAGCTAAGAGTTGTCTTAAACTAAGAAGCCAAGAAAAATAAAAATGAGCTCAACTAAAAAAATGTATCAATAAATTTATATTTCATTAGAGAAAGGAAATTAAGATCAATTTGTAAATAATGATTTATTTACTACTAATCCGTATTACGGGTTGCTTTCTGTATAAATAAATTTATATTTTATTAGACAAAGTAAATAAATATCAAATTGTTGGTAATGATTTATTTACTACTAACCCGTATTACGGGTTGCTTTCTGTATAAATAAATTTATATTTTATTAGAGAAAGTAAATAAATATCAAATTGTTGGTAATGATTTATTTACTACTAACCCGTATTACGGGTTGCTTACTGCTAGTTTATATTATTACACGTAAAACATTGTTTTTTACAAACATAAAAATATTTACATATTAATAATAAAGATGTTCAGTTCTTATAATAAATATGTTTTATTAAATATATATCATTACTTGTGTGTTTTAATTTAAACCCTGTTCATTAAATTAGTTCATACGAAATTGATCCCTAGATACAATGTGCTGACGTAAAAACAAAATATTGGAAACAAATATATTTCGAGAAAACTAGTCAAAATGTTGAGTTTCATTTATAAATTCAATGCAAAGATAAAATCTAAACTTAGAATCCTAGATTAAGTCGATAAATTAAAGATAAATTTTGAATCTTGCTATAACTTGATTTTGATGTAAAGATTGTGTAGTTTGCTAAAGAACAGTTTCAAATATATTTTATATATTATTTTTTACATTTTATAAACTTTAAATATTTATAAACAAAAAATTTCTAAGTGTTTTTTTGTTTAAAGAACACTTTTCGAATTTGTTTTAATAACCTATAATTACACATTATAAATTTATTATAATCATAAACATACAACTTCTTTTTGTGTTTTCCTTGTTAATTTTCATTCATTTTATATAATAATAACTATAATAATTATATATATATATATATATATATATATATATATATATATATATATATATATATATATATATATATATATATATATATATATATATATATATATATATATATATATATATATATATATATATATATGTATATGAAAGTGCTATAATATCTTATATATACAGTAGTGTTGTAATTTTTGAATAAAAAAATTGAGTATAAAAAAACAATATATTTTTCTTGAAAATTTTAAAATATGATATCAAATTTACGGTCGAGGTGACATCAATGTGTGATTTCATTTTGACATAATCATGATACTATGAACTTTTCAAAATGATAACAAAATCATTTTGAGAAGTTCATAATCATGATAAGTTCATGATAACAAAATGACATAATAATCTGAGGACAAGATAAAATCAACTTTTACTATCATAAGTATCTCAAAATATGATATCAAATTTGAGCTCAAATTAATATCACTATGCGATTTCAATTTGATATCATATTGTTCTCATAAACGTATCATGCTATGATATCATAAATCTCACAGTATGATATCAATATGATATAATTATGATATCAAATGGTTGACTGGGAATATTCTAAATAGGATTTTTAAATAGAGTTTTGTTGCCTTAACAAACTTTAGGAAGTTTGGAGGATGGGATATCGCCTGTTGCCTCGTTAGCGTATATAGTTATGTCCTACTAATTTTGAAACCTAATAAAAATATGAAACTGAAAAAACGACTCAATTTTTTTTACTTTGTTTTATTACTTTTTATATTTTGTTTTATTTGCTCAAAATGAAAAATATCAAATATATATTTTTTTGATAATATTCTTTTTTAAGTTTGTTAAAATCCCATAACAAAAGTTTATTTGGCACATCAGTGCAGATTATGTTTAAGCGTTTTAAACTTAAAATGTTTGGATATAATAAAAATGAAATAAAAACAACATTTACATAGTGCATTACATTTTTTTACTAATTTATTTATTTTTCTTACATATTGAACAATATCTTTCTTTTTAAAGAAGGTTGTTTTTTTAACTTTAAACATATTGCATGAAACCATTTATCACAACTGTCACAAGCCACCATATCCCCCTCAGCAGTCAATGAGTTGCATACAAAATATGAATGAATGCTGTCAGACTCAGCCGATTTTAGGAAATTTGCTTTGTTATTATAAGCATCATTAGCAATTCTATTTGTTAAAAATTTTGGTAGAATATTTAAACGGCAAAGTTTAGTTATTGTATCTGTAGCATTTTTCTGATACGTAAAAAACAAATTCATCTGGTGATGTAAGATGTTCCAATAGCATTCATTTGGATTTGCATTTGTGTAAAGTAAAGATGATTTTTGCTTAACCTTTATTTCTGATTTTCAAGTAAAATATAAAATTTCGTAGAACTAATTTCCTATTTAAGAGATTTTTTCCGTAATGAAAATGGATGTTTACCCTCCAAAACGCCACAATATTTCACATCAATCACAAATTATTATGAAGTAATGAAAAATATAATCAATATAAAAATATAATATTTGTCTAAGTTAGCAGTTACCCAGCAATGCAATCACAATATTGAGCAAAAACATTTCCATCTTCTTTTAATGCAATCCAAGGATTATGTGAACTCTCTGTAGCCCTATAAAATGGTCTAACTTGGCATCTAAAAATAGTCACTTTATTAAGAAGGATCATATGTTCAATGGTTTGTACCCAACCAGATATAAAGATATTATGAGCTTCCAATGATTTATAGTTTTCCATAGCCTCTGAACTAAACACACCTTTAACAAACAAGGTATATTAAAGGAGTGACACAAAATGTCATTTTTAAACTTAATTTATAGTTTTATTTAATAAATTTTAACAGTAATTTTTTTTGTTTTAAAATTTGCTACAGCATTTTAATAATTGAGGTTAAAGACAAAAATATTAATATAATTATTAAATTTCTAGATAAACGAAATAAATATTTGTGATGTTATCTTCAAAACAACAAATAATACCTAATATAATCAATTTACTAGGAGTCTTTATTATGTAAATATAAAGCTGAGGATGGTTTAATGTAGGCCATTTAGTTAGGTCAACTTTCGACCAAGCGTCGTATTTTTTATATAAAATTAAAGAGTAAAGGTGTATATATATTAAATTCGTTGTGTCAGGCCAATAAAATGTATAAGTCAAATGAATATTTGAACTGACATAACTTTTAAGAACCAATTAAAAAAACATATTTGAATTTCATAGTATTTTAAGCATCAAAAACTAATATTATAAAAAGATTTAATGCAAAACTGTTCTACGATAGTAATTTACTGCCACATTAGTTCTCTCATATTGCCACCATACTCACTGCAACATTAGTTCTCTCATATCGCTACCATAAAGTTTATCGTTACACTTTAGTGCTTTCATTCACTTTTATAATAATTTAACAAATTAAAAATAAACATTTAAACACTAAAATAACTTATAGCATATATATTTACAAAGTAAAGATAGAAATATTTATTGATAATATTATATAGGGCATACTATGCAGTGTGCCATACTATGTCATATCTTGCATATAACTAACAAACACTAGACAAACAAAAACACGCGTCCAAATCACAAGCTAACTTAATACAGTATATAAATTGATATACGCGTTATAACAACAGCCAGATTAAAGTGGAGGCTTATTCAGTTGCCAACATCTAATTTTAAAGTTTTTTCAGATTTTCTTTTTAACAGGCATCTCGCAGGGAATCTAAAACAATGTTATTTCACGATAAATTTTTGATGTTATTAATTAGGTATGACATAAATAGACTTGTAAACAAAAATAATATAACATGACTAATATGTAAGCATTTAAAGTTTAAAGTCTTGACTCAAGTTAACCTGACAAACTCTTAAATCAGTTGGTGAGGTTTTAATTTCTTTTATATAATTTAATAAATGCAAAAATAATCAATATCATTAATTTAGATTGTATCTTTTTTTTAAAAAAACAAACACCTTCGCTTCCAACAAGGCTACAAGCAACCATTAGTTAGTATTGAAATTTTCTGGAAGAGAGTAGATGAAGATTGTAGAGCAAGGTACCGATTGACAGACGACGTAAAAGATTGCAAATTATATAAATCTGAAAAGATGAAGGAAGCGAACTCCAAAGAACTGATATTCGAGGAAATAAGCTAAACGAATAAGAGTTTTTAGAGCATTAGGA